GGAGTACGTCCGCCGAGCCACAGAGGACCTCATGGCTGTCAGAGGGGCTGGAGCACAGGCTGAGAGCTGGGAGGGAGCACGGTGAGCTGCTGGGTCACTGATGGCTTTTATCTTTTCCCAACTGGGCTGGCTCCTCACCTCAACAGACACTCCTGCCCCATCGCCCCAGGGGCAGAGGGAGGGGCCCTGTGGGCTGGAGGGTGTGGAGAGTCCCTTCCCCCAGCAGGAGGGAGGGGTGCTCCCAGTTATCCTCTGTACTCCAGAGCTGAGGCTGAGCCGAGACTGTCTGGGGCAGGATGCCACCCTCTCCCCCTGGGGCTTTCCTGCCTTGGAACAGGATGATACGGGCTCCCACAGCCACCTCCACCACGCGGTGGCTGGTTTGGTCTCCTCCCACCCAGCCCTGGTGGCCGCTATCAATGGGGCTCTGTTCTGTGGGGTTTGTCCCAGGCCCCTGTTGTAAGCCAAGGCCCCAGGGCCCGGGCCGTGCAGGTGGTGAGAGGGAGCATTGGGAAATGGGCTGTGGGGGGTGCCCGGGCCTGCTGCCGTCCCACCTCCCAGCCCCACGGACGGCCTCATTGCCCCCTGGCCGGGCTGGGTGGGGGGCACAGGTGACAGAGTGGGTGCGGGGAAATCCGCTCTGTCAGACTGTCTGCTGGGTAGAGAGTCTGTGCTGGGCAAAGTGGGTGTGAGCGCTGAAAGAAGTGTCCTGCCCAACCACGGGGTCTGAGCCCTCAGTGAGGAAATCGAAAGACCTGGACTCCTCCAGCAGGGCCCAGAAGCCAGGAAGGTGAGGGGGCCAAAGCACTTTCTTCTGGGAGCTGAAGAGAAACAGGGGCTTCGACCATCACCTGAGACCCCAACCCTCTGCCTCACAGCAGAGCCTCCCAGAAGGGCCCAGTCACTTTGGAGGGAGCCGGAGGTGGACGGAGGACACAGCCCATCCCGGCTGGACATAGGTACAGATCCAAGAAGTATGTAGTCAACAACAGTCCCATAAGGCCATGGAGCACCCCAACATTCCCATTTTCCCAGTCTATATGGAGCCCCAAGCTTGATTCAGAAAGAGCAGGGTGGGGGGGTCCTCAAATCACTTCACACAGCCCCCGCCCTGCCCCACCCACCTCAGGCTACAAGGGAAGACTTGGAAATGTCAGTCAAATGCTCAGGCAGAGGGAGGGCTAAGGGGGCGACGTTAGAGACTGTCCCTCCTCACCCACTTCAACCTTCAGGGGGAGAGAATGGGCCCAGGGCGGAGAGAGACTTGCCCGAGGGCAGGAGCGGAGCCGCACTGACTGTGCCCTCACACAGCTGCCAGGGCCAGAGGGGCCTCTCACCAGCCTGTTCCCGTGACCCCAGAGGAGCGGCGGCGGGACACCCCACAGCTCCAGGAAGGCAGGCGGAGAGCAGCCCATGTCAGGCCCAGAGGAAGCTCCCAGTTTTAAGAAATTGAACATAATCCCATGAGGCACAAGGCAAGGGACACTCACAGAACTAATTCCTTAATTTTCCTTTCTGCTTGGAGCTAGGGTAGCAGGGATTTGGGGAGGGGAGCAGGGAAGGGGGGGATGAATCCTCACTGAGCTGTGTGTCCTCTGGCAACTCACAACCTCTCAGGACCTCCTTGCCTCTGCCTGTAAGCAGGGCCCACGGGGAAGTCCTTTCCAAAGCACCTGCCTGTGATTATAGGACGGAGAAGTCACTTCTCTAACCTTTGTCTCCCGCCCTGAGGCTGTTGACACTTTCTCAGCCTCCCTTATCTCTCTTAATGGGGCTGTGGGAGGGAAAGACAGTTGTGGGGGGCCCTCCCTGGGGAAAGGAGTGATGTCAGCCCTCTGAGTCAGGAGCCACGGTGGGAGTAGAGTGGGCTGCGAACACACATTCCACCCCTCCCCGGTGACTGACATCCACATAGTTACCTGTGCTCTGCGCCAGGCTTGTGCTGGGAGCTGATGACAGACACACAGGCAGCCCAGGGCCCGCTCTCACAGTTACTTCCTAGAGACAGCCTCCCTCCTACCAAGGCAGGACGTCTCCGCAGCCCCAGCCCAGACAGCGTGGGAGCCGCCGTGCCTCCTGTCCTGACTCTCCACTCGACTCTCATACAGGACGCCCCTCAGACCTTTCTGTAGCCCAAGAAGCAGCAGTGTCCTCCCCCTGCTGCTGCTCAGCCCAAGGGCCTTCATCTCTGGAGACTGTCACCTGCCCAGGGTCCCTCCCTGTGACAAGATAAGAGGCCATGGAATGATGGATGAAGCAGGACAACTGAGCCAGGCTGTGTGCTGAGCAATGGAAAAGATACAGGGGTGAAGAAAACCCAGCCACTACCTTTGAGGAACCCCCATACAGGGGTGGGACTTTCTGGGATTATATAGTCACCACTTACTGATCACTTACTACAGGGCAGACAGGAGCCTATACACTTTCTATGCAATAACATCTTCAGTCTCCACTCCCAATCTGCTCCCTTTGCCTCCTTCCTGCCCAGATCCACTCACCCACCTCCTTGGCCTTGGTAGGCTGCCCCTTGTTCTCTGTCTTCCAGAGGGTTGGCCAAAGGGAAACCCCATCAGGAGATCTGGGAGGGAGAGAGGGCCAGTATTTTTTCCCGCTCCCTCCCTGCTTCTGCACTGGATGCACCCCCTTTTCGGGCGTACCCTCCATAGCTCCCCAACTCTATCACTTAGTCACTTTGCTTCATCCTCCTGTGTCTCCAGTTCTACCCAGGGAGTCCACCTGGCCCTGATTTTCCCAGGACTGTCCCGGTTTAGCACTGAAAGTCCCACATCTCAGAAAACCCCTTGGCCTGGACAAACCAGATGGTGGCCTCCCCAGCGCAGGGGTGGCAGTGGTCTCCATGCTGCCAGCCTCTGGCCTCTGCATCCTGTGTTTGCTCCCTTAGCCACGCCCACACCTCACTGAGGTCCATTTAACTGAATTCTTCTGGGTGAATTTGTTTCCTTCTGGGATCCTGAATTGTACCATCCCCACATGGCCCTGATAGTATTGTTATTAATGTCTTTACACAGATGAAGAAAGTAAAGCACAGAGAGGTTAAGTAGCTTGATCAAACCATAGTTTGATCACCATAGTAAATAGCAGAGCTGAAATTCAAGTCCAAGAATCCCAGCTCCAGAGCCTTATGCTCACCCACTCATGTCTCGCTCACAGAGGACTGACAAGCCTCCTTCTTGGATACTTTTGATGAAGAGACCCATGGATCTGAGGAAAAGGCTGACCTCCCCCTTAAGCAGGGGGGAATGAGGTGACCTCCTGCAGCCCAGGACACGAAGTCTGGAGTTGACCCAGATGGGGAGGGAGAAGATGGGAGGAGCAGAGCAAGAGCCAACACAACTGCTGGGGTAGCTCCTGGCCCTGATGCCCTCTCTCCTGGCTTCCTGCAAAAGAGGGAAGTAGGAGAGCTGCCAGTCTCCTGTTCAGACAGACAGGCCGTGTATGGGATAGAACCAAGAGGGAAGGAGCATAAGGCATAATTTCAGCCCCAAGTCCCCATCAGAGCCCCCAGCACAAGCCGAGCTGCTGATCTCTGTCCTGGGTACAGGAGAAGAACCTGCCCAGAGGTCCCAGGGTAATAGAGAAGCCGGGCCCTAGGCCCGAACAGACAGAAACAGAGCCCAGGACAGCAATGGGCACAGCCAGGCTGTGCTGGCAGCAGGAAGAGTCCGGTGGGTTCAGACATAGAAAGTGGGGAAGGTTTTCAGGAGGAGGAAAATCGGGTCCAGATTTGAGAAGGGGGAGCAAAGATGAAGGGGGTTGTCCTGAGTCAGAAATAGAGCCTATTCTGGGGAATTAACTAAGGAACAAGCTACAAGACATGCTAGAACATCAGTGGAGATGAAGGAGGTGGAGAGCACCCCAGGAGGCATACTGGGGGTCTGGAAGGAAGCCCCTGATAAACTGAATGGGGTGATAAGTGAGGTGCCTGTAGGATATAACCCAAACAACCCTAAATATTTCAGAGATTGCTGTCTGAGAGTGGGCTGAGCAGTGGCACATCTTTTTTTTTGCTGGGTGAGGTGTGCAAGCCTGGGGGCCGAGCTGAATTGCTGGAAGGAATGACAGAGACGCTGCAAGGAACTTTAAACCCTGCCCTTCAACCTCTCCTCAAAATGCCCTTGGAATGCATATTGAAGGCTAGTGCTCAGCATCAGTGCTCAGCATCAGTGCTGAATTATTAACCTGACTGGAGCACCCCTGTCCAGGAGAAGGGCCAGGTTGAAGCTCAAAGATGAAAGGTGGGGTGAGGTGGCAAGACCCAGGCTTGCCCCCTTGGACAGAGCTGGAACCAGGACATCAAGAGGAAGACCAGAAGAAGAGACACGACACAAAAGGGCCTCACCACAATTCCCCATCTCTCAAGCCAGGGTGTCTGAATTAGCTATGGGAGGCTGACCTCTGGCCCTGGAGGCCACGGGATCTGAGAAAGAAGATCTGGTTCTCGTGGGTGGGAGGGGTTATGCTGGGTACACCAGAAACAGAGACATTACCCATTAGGAGGGCAGGATGGGTTTGGTCTTGCTTGCCAGAGTAGCCCCAGTCCTGGAACAGTGCCTCAGTGTGGTTTGTACCCAACAGAATTTGTGGGAGGGAAGGAGAGGGAAAGAGACAAAGGAAGACTCATCCCCGACGAGAACTGGAGGCTGCTCCATTTCACAGGAGAGCTGGAGAAATGGAGACTTCGAGGCAGATGAACAGGACAAGGACAGGTACCCCTTGGTGCTAGCCTCCAGGGTCTGGTCAGTGGGCCTCAGACCTCTCCCCTTTCCCCAAAAGGGCAATATGTGGGATGGGATGCAGTCTGGCCAAACCCAACCCTGAGTTTTTCCTGCTCAGCCTGTAGGCCATGGAGAGAGAAGAGAATGAGGCTGGCTAGTAGGAGGATGGGGCACTGTGCACCTTGACTCCGGGCAGGCAGCAAACAAATAAGACAAATCACTAGGCAGGGCAAGGCAGACCAGCGAGCACTCAGAACAGCAGGCAGACGTGACTTTATTGATCTCTGCAGCATCCCCTGTGGGCAGTGGACACACAAACGGCCATGCTGGGGTGGGGCGGGGCTGAGAATATTCAGGAAGGCAGGGGAGAACGTGGCTGCCACAGCACTCAGTATGTGACGGACGTCTTGAGACTTGATTCGACTGTCTTCTTCAGGATGGTGTGGCAGCTGGAGCCAGAACTGGAGCCGGACACAGAGCAGGAACCCATAGCAGAGGCCTGTCCAGAGCCCAGGACGATGCTGGAGCCTCCAGTCACGACGCTGGAGCCTCCAGTCACGACGCTGGAGCAGCTGGATCCAAACGCGTCTTCCCCGCCTCCGAGTCCACAAGGGCTATTGCAAGCTCCTCCAGACAGGATGGTGCTGCCGCCCCCCACAGCTGCAAGAAATGCACCAGGGTCACAGCAGGGTCCTCGGATCCCCATGGGGACCCCCACTCCCAAAGCCCCCTGATACTCACAGATAGTGACCTGGCTGGTGCACTCCCCAGACATCCTGGAGGAGAAAGAACAAGAAGAGAAACTGCTGAGAAAGGCCACAAGAATGCATCCCGGGGGCCTCCGGGAGCAGCTCATCTACCGTCCCAGCAGATAAAATCCACAGTCCACAGTTTAAAACCCCTCCCCGCAGAATGAGTTGCCCTCAGTGGCTTAGAATGTGAGGAAGTCGCTCAGGATTCCCCTCAGCCAGGAAAGCTCTGTGTTGGCATTTCATCCTCCACCACCATCCCTCTCCACACACACTCCAAAGCACATGTCCCCAGGTCCTCTGACGGCCCACCTGCACTCCTCGCCCTCCAGCAGCCTGCGGTAGGTGGCGATCTCCACGTCCAGGGCCAGCTTGGTGCTCATCAGCTCCTGGTACTCTTGCAGCAGCCGGGCCATTTCCTGCTTGGCGGCCCTCAGAGCGGCCTCCAGCTCGGCCAGCTTGGTCTGAGCATCCTTGATGGCCAGCTCCCCACGCTGCTCGGCGTCTGTGATGGCAGCCTCCAGGTTGGTGTTCTGGGAAGGGTACAGAAATGAGGGAGAAAGTGGCTGTAGACACAACACGGCCTCCCAAAGCTCCTACTTGGATAAAACTTGAAGGCTGGAGTGCACCATAATCACATGAGCTCAAAATTATCCTGTCCCCAGCAGCAGCTCTCATTCGAAGGGAAAGTATTGCCTCTTCTACTTCCTTAACTCTCATAATGGGTTGACGAATGTCCTAAAAAGTGGCATATCCACCCAGAACTTCCAAATGTGCTCTTATTTGGAAACAGGGCTTTTTGCAGATGTAAGGTAAGGATCTCAAGAAATCATATTGTATTTAAGGTAAGCCCTAAATCTAATGACTGGTGTTCCTAGGAAAAGATCAGAGGACACAGACACAGACAGAGAGAAGACACCATATGAAGGCAGAAGCTGAGACTGGAGTGATCAACGACAAAACAAGGAATCGCCGGAGCCTCCGGAAGCCAGGAAGAGGCCAGGAAGGATGCCCTGCTGATGAAGTATCTCCATTCTGACCCTCAGTTACTGCACGTACATACCCTGGCAGGTTTGTTCGTTTGTTTGTTTGTTTGTTTGTGTGTTTGTTTGTTTGTTTGTTTGTTTGTAAACATGAGGGCCTTGAGAAACCCAGAGAAAACTATAAACATAAAGGGGTTAATGATGGCCTTGGGAAACTCAGAGGAACCATGAAGAGAAAGAGATTAATGGTTGCCCTGACCTCTGTAAACAGCTCCTCTAGTCCCCCTTCTGTAAAGTTCCCCCCCTTAACGGTGCCAAAAGCAGCACCAAGAATGTAGTTTTTTTCCTTAAAAGCAGGCAGCAGAGAAGGCTCGCTGCTGTGATTTGGGGAGACTATCCCCCGCAGCCTGCTGGTGAATAAAGTGCTCCTTTCGTTTACAATTCGGCTGTGCGTCTCTGGTTGTCTCGCTGTCCTGTCACCTTGGCATCTGATTTCAGATGTCTGGCCTCCAGACTGAGAGAATAAATTTCTGTTGTTTCAAGCCACCAAGCTTGTGGTACATTGTTACAGCAGCCACAGGAAACTGATCCACCACTTTGCCACCTCTTCAATTGATCTCTCCCATTTCTTCCCGCCCTCAACCCTCCTCCTGTCCTGTTCAGCGCGTTATCTACAAGTCTCATCTTGTTCAGTCCCTCAGTCCCTGATTTTTTTAGAACTGTCCACTTCAAATATTTTGTCCTGTTTTCAAAGTTTATCAAACCATGCGCCTCCATTTTTGGTTTGAAAAATACACTTTCTGAACTTACCTCTCCAATCTCACAGAAAACTCAGAGATGAAGGATAAGATCCCTGTCTAATTGGCCATCTAGCTGATTGACCCTCATGTTTGGTTGAGGAAAGAAGGCATTCCCGAAAGGTTCTCATTATTCTATTCCCACACAGTCACCCTGCGGATAGGGAACCTCATCTCCATTCTACAGATGAGGAAACTGAGGCGCAGAAAGGAGGTGAGTGGCAGAGCTGGGACCCTCCCTAACCCATGACAGCTGACGTACAGTCCACCACTCTAACTGTAACCTCCAGGGCTCTGCCAGGGCCTGGCACAAGGGAGCCAAATTCATCAGGCTTATGCATGAAGAGGAGGAGTAATGGGGGGGTCATATCCCCAAGAGGGATTCTTGCCGGAAGCCTTTGTGGGAGGAGCTGTGGCTCACACACATGGGGACCTAGTACCACCCCTAATTTCTGGTAGCTGGGCTTTGAGACTCCGCATATTCACAGCACCTGGGTAAATTTCATTTAGAAAGCAGGTTTCTGTGCACCATCCTTAAAGACCCTGATTCCCTGGCAGAAGACCCAGGAGTCTATCTTATGAGACAACCCAGGGAATTCCAAAGCAAGGAATCCAAACTTATGGGAAAAACACTGTGGCAGCAAATTAAGTAACAGGTCCTGCATCACACTCGGAGAAGAGTGGGTGGAGTCTGAGTCTGGGCTTCGAATGATCTGTGCTCTAAGGACTTTCCCCTGAGGGCCCTGCTGGGAGTGGGTGGGCCATGTGAGACTTGGGAGTCAAGCTCGGGTGCTTGAGGAAACCACCTGACTCTGTTGGCCCCAAAACCAATTCCTCAGATTTGGGGAAAGTAAGAACAAAGACATTTGAAAACTTAAGATTTTGAAATCTTTTACATTTAGAAATGAAGTCTCCAGGAAAAAGGAAACTATCTCCCTGCCCTACACCTCTCCTGCTCCTTCCCACACCAGGCACCAACAGCCTCACGTCCTAAGGAGGGCTCACTCACCCCCCCCCCCCCCCCCCCCCCCCGCACACACACTGCCCATGTAGACTGCTCCTTGAGGTCTTGGCTCTCACCCTCCCCAACAGGGGACCAGAAAATTCAGTGCATGGCCTTAGGGTCTCTGCTGGGCTTGAGTTAAAATCAAAAGAAGAGATTAGAAAACCCTCTCTCTTCAAGGAGCCAAAAGCAAGATGTACACCCAGGCATGGAATTCAGCCAAGCAGAGCCACCTGTCGTTCAATGCAGAGCCCATGCAATTAGAATTCACAGGAGGCTGAAGTCCTCTTATATGAGACTTGAGGTCTTCTCCACGCCATATCACTTATAGTCCAACCAGTTATCAAGGTTCACACCAACCCAGCGGTGACCCTGGCACAAAGCCAGGAAGAGGCAGGGCTCGGGGAGCTCTGGGATGCTCACCTGTTTCTTAAGGTCCTCAATTTGACTCCGCAGTCTCTGAATTGCCTGCTGCAGCCAAGAGATCTGGACTTTGGTTTCCTTCATGCTGTCCCCATGGAGCTGGGCAGATGCCTGAAGCTCCTGGTACTGAGGGAGACAGAGGTGACACTGGTAGTTGAGAAGACCCTCACCTTTGACACCAAGACCCACATCCCCCATGCTTTGCTTCCTCACATCCTCATCTGGAACGTGGGTAAACACTGAGAGTAAGACATGGTGGGATGCACTTGACGAAGTCCAAGCTCCTCTCCCACAGGTCTCCTGCGTTGCCTCCCTCTTGGAGAAGGAAACTGGTCCTGCCCACCCAGCCCTTGCATTTTAGGGAGGTTATCAGAACTGCCCAGTGAGACCAAGATAGACAACCATTCTTGGGTGTGGGCATGGTGCTGCCCCCTGGCCCGGGCACCTTTGTCTGGTACAGCATCTCAGCCTCGGCTTTGCTGGTCTGGGCAATCTCCTCATACCGGCTGTGGACCTCGGCAATGATGTCACTGAAGTCTAGGCATCGGTTGTTATCCATGGACAGCACTATGGACATGTCACTGGCCTGGGTCTGCAGCTGGCCCAGCTCCTGCGGAGAAGACTGACTCAGTGTCCACCTGCCCCTCAGCCCCCTTTCCCCTTGGAGCTTCAGGGAAGGTAAGCAAGAGGCCTGACTCTGCCCACACTCCAACGGAGGCAGCCCTCATTCACATTGGGTGGCATTGAGTACTCCTGCCTTCTGGGGGGCTGTCTCCTCATCTGAATCAAAGGCTATAGGAGATGGTCTACAATAACTCTTGGGATTTTTTTATATTTATTTATCTCATAGAGAGAGAGGAAGGGGGAGAGACAGAGAGAGAGAGAGAGAGAGAGACATTGATCTGTTGTTCCACCCACCCATGAACTCATTGGTTGATTCTTATCTGTGCCCTGACTGGGGATCGAACCCACAACCTTGGTGTGTAGGGACAATGCTCTAACCAACTGGGCTACCCGGTCAGGGCTTGCAGCTTGGAATGTAAAGGAAAATGTCCTGCAAGGCCTAATCACCTGGTCCCCATCATGCCTCTGGCCTCTTTCACCCTGCCCTCCCTCTCACTCCCGCTGCTCCAGCCACATGGCCTCCTTGCCTTCCCTCAGACCCAGCACAGGGCGGTGGGCCACTCCCCCTCCCTGGAATCCCACCCTCATGACTAAGTCTCCTTCAAGTCTTGCCTCAAATTTATCTTCTAAATCAGGCCACCCTGATCGCCCTATTTGAAATTGCAATCTGAACTTCCATTCAAGATGGCGGTATCACATCCTCCCACAACTACATCAAAGTTACAACTAAACTACAGAACAACAATCATTCAAAACCACCTGAAATCAAGCTGAATGGAAGTCCTACAACTACGGAATTAAAGAAGCAGCCACATCGAGACTGGTAGGAGAGGGGGAGGCAGACAGGCTGGTCCCACACCCACGTGTGGTGGATAAAAATCAGGAGGACACCTTGGCTGGGAAGGTCCTCCCTGAGGACTGAGGGGGGTCCCCGTCCCACACCAGATGCCCCACTCAGGTTTCCAGTGCCAGGAAGAGAATCGCCATAACTTCTAGCTGGAAAAACCAGCAGGAACTGAGGCTCAGGAAGGCTGAGGTGACTGGAGCCCCAGGCAGCTCCTTAAAGGGCCCGGGCATGAATTTATTGAACTCAGTCCCTCTAAGCTTGGAGGGGAGGCAGCTCGAGGGGCACCAGAGTCATACATGGAAGAACTGAGCTGTTTGGCACTGGAGCGAGGGCTGGAGAGGGGGCTTTCTCCCGGACAAACATGCTGTCAGAGGCCTTTGTTCCTTTGGTGAGCCCTTCCCTGGGGCGGCAGACAGCCGCCATATCTGGGACTCCAGCAACCTGGCTCACACTGGTAGCCCCGCCCTGGTGACTCCCTGAGGCCCCGCCCCACCCCACCCAACTTTCAGGCCCACCCAAGCTGTTGCCAGTTACTTGACCATAGGATTGGCCTGTCTTGGATCCTGCTTCAGGTTTTCCTAAATTCTTTCAAATTAGCAGCATCTGGTCTCAGATAGCCCCATACCTCTCATTAAGTAATACACAGAAACAAACACAGAGAGGGAGCCAAAATGAGGAGACAAAGAAACAGGTCCCAAATGAAAGAACAGAACAAACCCCAAGAAAAGAACTAAGCAAAATGGAGATAAGCAACCTAACAGATGCTGAGTTCAAAATACTGCTTATAAGGGTGTTCAATGAACTTAGTGAGGGCCTCAAGAGCATAAAAAAGGACCAGTCAGAAATGATGGATGCACAGTCAAAAATGAAGGAGGCACTAACTGAAATAAAGAATAATTTACACAGATTCAATAGTAGAGTATGTAAATCCAAGGAGCAAACCATCGATTTGGAATATAAGGAAGCAAAAAAACGCCCAATCAGAACAGCAAAAAGAAAAAAGAATCCAAAAAAATGAGGATAGTGTAAGGAGCCTCTGGGACAACTTCAAGCGTGTCAACATTCGCATCTTGGGGGTGCCAGAAGGAGAAGAGACAGAACAAGAAATTGAAAACCTGTTTGAAACAATAATGGCAGAAAACTTTCCTAACTTGGTGAAGGAAACAGACATACAAGTCCAGGAAGCACAGAGAGTCCCAAACAAGATGAACCCCAAGAGGCCCACACCAAGACACATCATCATCAAAATGCAAAAGGTTCATGACAAAGAGAGAATCTTAAAAGCAGCAAGAGAAAAACAGTTAGTTACCTACAAGGGAGTTCCCATAAGGCTGTCAGCTGATTTCTCAAAAGAAACTTTGCAGGCCAGAAGGGAGTGGCAAGAAATATTCAGAGTGATGAAAAGCAAGAACCTACAACCTAGATTACTCTATCCTGCAAAGCTGTCATTTAGAATCGATGGCCATATAGTTTCCCAGACAAGAAAAAGTTAAAGGAGTTCATCACCACCAAACCGTTACTACATGAAATGATGAAGGGTCTTTTTGAAGAAAAAGATAAAATATATGAACAAACAAAATGGCAATGAATACATATCTATCGACAATTGAATCTACAAACAAAATGAGCAGGCAGAACAGAAACATTCTCATAGATACAGAGAACATTTTGTTGGTTGCCAGATGGGATGGGGTTTGGGGGAATGGGTGAAAAAGGTGAAAGGATTAAGAAGAACAAATTGGTTGTTAGACTGACAAACCTCAAAGGGAAGGGGGTGTGGGAGGTGAGAAGAGATAAACCAAAGAACTTATATGCATAACCAATGAACACAGACAACAGTGTGGGAAAAGGCAGGAGGGAGGTGGGAGTGGGGATGAGGGAATCAATGGGGGAAAAAGAGGAACATCTGTAATACATTCAACAATAAAGATAAAAAAAATAATAAATAAATTTAATAAAAAGAAATTGCCGTCGGCCTTTCCCCTCCACATTCACAATCTCCTTTCCTGTTCTAATTTTCCCTTTTTCCATAGTATTTATCACCTTCTAACATATTGATTTACTAAGTCTATCATGTGTTGTCCATCTCCCAGTAGAAAGCAAGCTTTGTGACTTTTGTTGAGTTATTCACTAGTGTGTCCCCAGAACCTAGCAATCCACATAGTAAATCCTCAGTAATTGTTTGTCAACTGACTAAATGACCAGAATCTAAGTCGCCCTAACTAGGCTTCACCTCCTGGCCACTGCCAAGGTAGCCACAGGGAGCCTGCCCACCCTGTCCCGTCCCTCTACCACCTGCCCATGGAGATCACCACTTCTGCCATTGGCAGATTCTCACTTCTTCATATAGACGCCTCAAGAAGCAGGTGTACTCTCTCAGAACCTCCAGCTTGCCTTCCAACTCCATCTTGCTCAGGAAAACTTGGTCCACATCCTGGGGACAGGGAGACAGAAACCATGTATCCCCTACTTCTTCTTTGTGGGCCCCACTCTGGCTCAGGAGTTCTGTTCACACACTTCCCAACACTCACCCACAGCCATTTCCAGACACTCGCTGCTTCCTCCTCCAGCCCCACCCTGCCCTGCTTGTTCTTTTGCCTAACATTGACCTACACCACCTTCAGGAAGCTTTCCATGATTAATCCCAACCAGTTCTGCTTCTTCTACTCCATCCTCATTCTCTCCTGCAGTGACACTCCAAACTCATCACATGGTCCTTCAGTCAAATCTTGTCTTGGGGTCCCTGTGTCTAGATCGATGTCCCATTTCCCTGGGGGACCCCTGCAGGCAGCATGCCAGCATATTCTTCATGAAGACCTCCCACCCTTTACCCTCCCAGCCCAGGACTGGGCTCTGTGTCCCATGGGTGCTCAAGATCTAAGTGGAGCAGCTGACACCCACCCTCACCTTTTTGAGAACCATGAAGTCATTCTCGACCACGGCCCGCTGGTGGGCCTCCTGCTCATACCTGCCAGGTAAAAACAGAGGTGCTGAGGTCAAAGCCCATGTGCCTCCTCCAAGCATGACCTCCTGAAAAGGCTGCTCTTGCCTTTAGATGAGTCAAAGCAGGACATACAACCAGCCTGTGTCTCTGCCTTTCCTATCAGGAAGTTTTTGTCACATCCCTCTCCACTCTTTCAGCCCATGTCCCCTTAATGACATAAGGCCACTCTGGTTCTCATTTACAAGGTGTTCATGTTCAAACACCTTTTCTCACTTACCACTCATAATCATCACCTGAAGCAGGCAGGTCAGATTTTATCAGAAAGATTTTACAACTCACCCAAGTCATAGATGATTAGATGGCCAAGCAGACCTAAAACCTGGGTCTCCTGGCCCCGATCCTGGGCTCCTTCCAGGGCCCACCCCACCTCTCATCCCATCCTCCAACCACCCTGGGAGGTGAGAAGGGCAGGTGGCATCTTTCCAGTTTTCAGATGAGAAACTGAGGCTGGATGAGGTGAAATGCCTTGCTCAAGGCCACACAGCGGCCCTCTGCTCACAGTCGCTGAACCCAAACCTCCTGTTAGTCCAAGGCTCACTCCACACCACCAGGGACTTAGGTGGGGAACCCAGAACTGCAGCCTAGCTGTGAACCATGCCACGGGCCTGGGGATGGTCCCAAGAAATAAATTCCCTTCTACCCCTGAGACCAGAGAACATCTGAGTCACTTTAGCCCACAGCCTGCTCAACAGGAATTTCTCGAGAAAAACCCACTGAAGCATTGTTTAAATAAGCCCCTCCCAGTGCTGACCAGAAACACGGGGCAGGGAGCTGGGGCCTGTTGGCTCTCCAGATCTGGGCGTCCGGGCAGCAGGACTCCTTACCTACAGCAGGCCGGGCACTCTGAGAGTCAGAGGGAATGAGATGCAGAGGGGCTAGCGGGCAGCCCAGTCATGGGGCGGGGGGGAGCTCAGCTGACAGCCCTGCTCCAGCCCTCCTAACCCCCAGGCCCCATGGGGAACTTTTGTCAACCTACTTGGCCTTGTACTCCTCCTCCTGGTCCTGGCAGGACTTCAGCTCAGCGTCCAGAGCCCCTCGTTGTTGCTGGAGCGCCTCCAGCTGCTTCCTGAGCTGGGCCAGATAGTCCTCAAAGAAAGACTCCAGGCCCCGAGGGCTGTCACTCACCCCCAGCTGCTGCAGCAGGTGCCACTTGGTCTCCAGGACCTTGTTCTGCTGCTCTAGGAACCGCACCTGCAGCATAAGCAGAGGGTCCCTGAGGCCGCTGTGGGGCCCCCTGGGCACAGCCTCTGGAAAGTGAGGCCTCAGGGACCCTCTAGTCAGCCCCTGCCTCCCAACCCAGCCTGGGCAGGGACAGCCTCAAGACTCTGAGCATATCAAAATGATCAGAAGGACTAATGGGGAAGGGTCTTCCCACAGCCGGCTGGCAGTTTTCTGCCGCTGAGCCCCTACCATGGAACCACAGGGCCTCAGCATAACCAGAGAGACTCCAGTTAGACCAAAGAGGGACTTCTTTGCTGCAGAAGTAAATGAGAAAAGTGACAAACCAGACTTCCCCATTCCCAAGTCCATCAAGAAGTTTCTCCAAGGAATGCACTGAGACAGGGACCTCCTGAGTTGACCCTCACCTTGTCAATGAAGGAAGCAAACTGGTTGTTGAGGGTTCTGATCTCTTGGGTCTCCTGAGTCCTCACCACTTGGAACTGGGGGTCCATCTCAATCTTCAAAGGGGTCAGCAGATCCTGGTTGATGGTCACTTCCTGGATGCCCCCTGGAGGGCACAGGGAATGCCCAGGCACACCAGTCCCCTCCCCAAACCACACCCTTGGCCTTCCTCCTGACCCCCAGGCCATTGCACGAGAGCCTCTTTGGCATCCCCCAAAGGAACTGAGGCTCCTGCTGCTGAAGTTATGCCTGCCTCGGCCCCTGGGGTGTGCAGAACAGGCTGAGCGAGCACTGAAGGCCCTCTGGGTCCGGCAGGGGGAAAGAGACATGGCAGAGACCCACAGTCACACAGCTGCAGACGAGCAGAGGACAGTCAAGGTGTGTGAGTTCCTGCCCTGAGGCCCCGGCACTTGACTTTTATCCCCTCCCGTGCCTGGGCTGGGCCTTGGAGAGCAAGATGCTCTTGGCCTGACTGTGTCTGTCACGGGCTCCAGCTGACCTCTTCCGACACACCTGGAGAATAAGTGCCTAGCACGTGCAGAGCCCGAGGAAGAAGGACACCCAGAACTTTCCCTCAGAGCTCCCAGGCTGCGGAGAGCTGGGCATGTCCCCAAGACAAGGACAGCTTCCTGGAGAAGGAGATAGGGAAAAAGGGAGGGTCATTCAGGGGGGAAAGAGGATGGAAGGGGTTCAGGCAGAGCATCTGAGTGCCTTGGAGATGTTAGACAGACGCGAGTGAAGCTTCTCAAGGGAAAACCTCCCTAGGAGAGTTGGGAAGGAAGGCACTTTGCAGCACCGAGAAGCCGGGAGGTTAATAAAGCTGTTGCTGTCAGTGCTGACTAAAAGATACTTCAGGGTTTGGAAATGAAACAGAAAAATAGGGTGTCCAAGTCCCTCCTCTTGCCCAACCCAGCAATCATCCATGAGGCACCACCCCACTCAAGCCGGGCATGTCTGTCCAGGATCATGGCCAGTGGGGCATTTTTGAGCCCAGACTGTGTCCCTTCCACAAACAGCCAGTGCCAGGCCAGTGCACCCAAGTCCAGTAGGCATCGCCAGGTTACAAATCAGAGGCATGTAGGCTCTGAAATAAAATGTGCATTTAGAAACATTCTCCCTTGGGGGACTGGGAGCAGAAATAGGTGCTTTGGGGTTCCCCACAAGATAGACACTGTCTCTGCCCTGAGAGTCTGCATCCAGCGTTGAGTGAGCCTCACATGGTCAGGACCCTTGGAAGGAGACCTCCATCACCCCACTAGGCTCCACTGCTGGGGAGCAGTACTGGGCAGCTCTGATTTTTAGAAATGTCTAAAATTTCTCCTTTATAGGGCAGAGAGTTATTTCTCCCTGCCCCCCCCCCCTTTCCTAGAGCTGTCGCATCCTGAAGCTAAGATACTGGGGCCTTTGATAAAGCAACTCAAAGCGAGGTCAAACAGAGACTCGGCATAGTAAACACTCACGACCAAGACATGAGGAAATCAGCCGTAGCAGTGCAAACCGCCCCAGAGACACTCCACCCCTCCCCAGCCAGACCAGGGAGCCAGCCTCCCCACCCTCCAGAGCACTAGAAGCCCCTCCCTCCTTGCCTGAAATGAAACTGAACAACAGATGACCTCAAGGGGAATAAGAGGTCAGGCCTTCAGTGAGGAGATCAAGGGACTGAGAGGCCAGGTGAGGGAGAGAAGAGACCCAAGTGGGGGCTCCAGATGCACCAATGAGAGGGAGGCAGGGAGAGGCAGCAGTCTAGAAAGAGAACCTGGGATATTGTTGAATCATATTGAGGACCCACCTCCAAACCCTACCCACCAGGACCACTTTGCAGAGGCAAAGAGGGCCAGGTGCCTTTCTTCTGGGTCCCACAAATATGCTTGAGAAAGATCTCCATGGACTGGACTCTGCCATCCCACCCCCATCCCTGGTATTAAAAGGTGGAAGACAGAGCTCACACTTGGGATGGGGTCAAATCCACCTCCTTGGAACTTCCCCATATTTGTAATATTATCGAATGTTAGAGCCAGGCAAGCTTCATGGTCCAATGCCCTCATTTTTCACTTAAGGGCTCTGAGGTCCCATAGGGTGTAGGGCGGGGTGCAGAGACTCTGTACCCTTGAGTAACCTATGAGATTGCACCAGATGACCTCTAAGCCTGCTTTGACCCACTGTTCTGTGGTCTGAGCAACTTGCTCAAGGAGCCAAGACCCCCAGCCAGCTCAGACCACTGCCCCAGGGAACAGCCCACCAAACCTTTGACCACTGCTCCCCGTGTCTGTCTCGTCCACCAGTGTGTGCAGCTCTGGGTCTGGCATACACTGGGCATCAATAAGCACTTGTTTTAAGGGTTGAATTCTTATTCATGGCAGAGACCTTCTTGACTCCCCAGGTTCTCAAATGCCACTGTAACATATCTTTTCCTCTAGTAGGAAAAAAAACGCACGGTGATGGGGAGGACAAAGCTGTTTGAAGATCAGATGCTGGGCCCCTCACAGACTGAGTAATCTGCTCCCAATACCAAGTTGCACAGAGGGATCAGTCTATGCAGCAGCAGAGGTGCAAATGGCTCGAACCCTGGTCTTAACGTCAAACTTAGCAATGCAAAGGCTCTAATGGGCTCTAACTATTGGGTTGCATTGCTGCTCCAAGGTAGCCACTCACCCCACACCTCATGCTAGGCAGTCCCTGCCCACCTGGTCCCTAGCCAGCCCAGCCCCTTGAAGCTCCCAGAGACCCCTGCTCTCACTGCATCCCCTGAGTTCCCCCTGGCCACAGCTACAACTTCCAGCCTCTTCCTCTGTAATTGCGCTCAAGCCTGTTCTGCTTGTGCAGTGGACTTTTTGACCCAAAAGCCATTTATTCACACTTATTTATTTACTCAACAAAATATGATGAGCACCTATTATTTGCGTGGGCCTGTGCTGAGAGTTAGGAAGTTAGCAGAGAACAAGGCCCAGCCAGCACCAAGAAAGCTTAGAGCCTAGTAGAGAAACAGACACTGAAAAGGTAATTAGACAAGTGTCTCATTGCAGTTATGATAAAGAATAAAAAGTGTAGGGCATGAAAGAGGCCTAACCTAGTTTATCCCCTAATTTATTCTCAAGCTTGCCAGGAACACTCCTGCCTCAGGGCCTTTGCACTGGTTATTTCCTCTTCCAGGAATGCTCCTCATTGGATACCCACATGGCTAAAAGTCACCCTCCCTGGTGACCCTAAACCAAAATTGCAACACTGAGGTCATCCCTCAGCTGACACGTCATATCCCCTTCCCTGCTTGCTACCTTTCCACCTAGCACCTGTCGCTTCCTAACATAGCATGTCTTACTTACTCCCTGCACTGGAATATGAGCTCCATGAGGAAGGGGTTTTGTCTCTTTTCTCACTTCTGTATCCTCTGCACTTGGGGTGGTGACTGGCAAGTAGGTGCACTATAAGTATTTCTTAACTGAATGAATTCTCATTCAATTCCATCCTGTTTTCTTCCCATCTTCAACTTCTAGAGATCCTTGTGACTCTTAATTCTCATCTCCCAAGCCTTAATCATTCCCCACCCACCCAAGGTGGGGAGATGCATACATTTAAGAAATATGGTCGTGTGTGTGCGCGCGCGCTGCTGTCTGCCTGTAGCCAGCCTCCCCTCCAACCACAGACAACTGAATGACTGACTTCCCCTGATCGAGACATCATGGAACCTTCCCTCAGTCCGGCCTTTGCAGCTGAGTAATACATGCAAGATTCTAATCCAGAATATTCCAAATATCTCAAACATCAGTCATTCTCATTCAACCTTCACCATTATGCCATATATAATTCCATAAGAACTGTTATATACAGCCCGGCCAGTGTGGCTAAGTAGTTGAGCATTAACCTATGCACCAAGAGGTTGCCAGTTCGATTACTGATCAGGGCACATGCCCGGGTTGTGGGCCTGATCCCCAGTGGGGGGCATGCAGGAGGCAACCAGTCAAAGTCCTCTCTCATTGATGTTTCCATCTCTTTCCCCCTCTCCCTTCTGAATCTCTCTAAAATCAATAAAGAAAAAAAAAATTTTTTTAAACTGTTATATACTGCCCTGGCCGGTTTGGCTCAGCGGTTAGAGCGTCAGCCTGCGGTCCCGAGAGACCCGGGTTCGGTTCCCGCTAAGAGCATGTACCTCGGTTGCAGTTTGTCCCTGGCCCTGGTTGGTCGTGCGGGTGGCGGCCACTCGATGTGTCCCTTTCACATCGATGTTTCTCTCTCTCTTCCTCTCTCCCCCTCCCACTCTACCTGAACAAAAAATGGAAAAATGTCCTCAGGTGAGGATAAAAAATAATAATAATAATAAAAATAAATAAAAAACTGTTATATACTTAATATTTTACTTTAAATGAAGTCTTATCCTGACCCTCATCAATAATATTTTTGAAATTGTGACATTTGTGTGCTAGTTCTAAATTTTCTAATTCATGTTCAAATAAAATATAGCTATTAAAATATAAAATATTTGTCCATGTGCCGCTGGCTCACACAGCACCCTCTAGGAAACACAGGTCAATCCAACCCTGTCTTTGCTGCCCCAAAGCAGTGAGGGCAAGAATAGAGCTGCCCCCTTTGGACCAGGCCGATTTCATCCTCCTTGGAATTATACTTCTCTGGGCTGCAGGGGCAGGAGAGAGAAGGGAGCTGATCAAAGAGCCCTTGCTGAACTGGGTAGGAGAGCACACTCGCTCCAGCATCCTCGGCCCTGGCACCCTCCTGCCTGCTGGGCTGGGGGCAGGTGTTCCCTGCTCTCCTCACTGTGCTGACAATGGGGTGAGGTGGCACTGTCCAGAGAATGGGCTTATTGAAGCAGGAAAGCGATGCCCCCCGTGAGCCACACGGCTGCCTCCACAGCCCCTCCGCACCCGGGTAATGAGACCCCAAAACTCACAGGGAGCACATTCCCAAGACCGAGGTCGTAAAGAAGAGTTTTCAAAGTTTCATCTGGGAGTTCAGAATTTAAACATATGTCTCCAGATTTCGGGTTGAGGGTGGAAGACAGGGACAATGGCAAACTAACTTTGGAATAAGTCGTACCCTGCTTAACGCCAGGAATTTGTTCTGCGAAATGCGTCGTAGGTCACTTTGTCATTGTGTGAAGCTCCCAGAGTGCACTTCCACAAACCGCTGGGACAGCCGCCTGCACACCCAGGCTGTGTGGTGCCCAGCACTCCCAGGCCACACGCCCCACAGCGTGGGTCCGCACTGAACACCGTGGGCAACGGTGACACGATGGTAAGCATCTGTGCACCCGCGTACATCTAACCATACAAGAGGTACCCACAGGGATGGGATAAAGATAAAGACGGTGCACCTCTGGAGGGCACCTGTCGTGAATGGAGCTGGCGAACTGGAAGGTGCTCTGGGTGAGGCAGTGAGCAGTGAGGGCCCA